GGATCAGAAGTTCAGGGGTTCAATCCCCTCGAGGCAGGAGGATCAGAAGTTCAGGGGTTCAATCCCCTCGAGGCAGGGGGATCAGAAGTTCAGGGTCATTCTAGGCTCTGTAGGGAGTTCAAGGCCAGCCTAGGGAGAAGAGGAGGCTTCAATAATGGAACCCCAGGAAAAACCATGCAGAGAGAGCCCTGCTGAGGGGTCCTCTCTAGTTTGACTAGGGAAATGTGGGCAGTGGGAGAGGACAGCAGGCCTGGGAGACCTGGGTTCAAGTCCAGCTTCTCCACTGACTCCTGCTACCCATAACCTCAGTTTCCTTGCCTGCAAGATGGAGGGGGGAGAGAAAATAAAATAACCCCTAGCTCATTCTGGAGCTGTCATTTTTTTCTTTGAGTCAATGACAGACAGGCAATGTATGGAAAGTCCTGATGGATCATAGAGAACACTGGGCACAGCCACATAGGGGTGTCATCAATTTCACATGGCATTGGCCGCTTTGGTTTCCACCTGCGTCAATTAGCTCATCCTGCAGGGGTGAATCTTGTCCCCTCTTCTCTCCTGTAGTGCCTCTGCCTCCCAAGAAGAGAGGCTAGGCTAGACAACCAGAAATCCCGACGGACTGACCGCGGGTTGCTAAGTGTGACGTCAAATGGGATGACCTCATAGCTCCCGGTTCCCAGGGTGCCCTGCCTGCAGTCACCACCGGGCTTCCTGGGAAAAACAGAATGGCCCTCCCAATGCTTCCCCTCCCCTGCCAGAAACCTGGCGGATAGAAGGGTCTGCTCTGTCTAATTCATAAAAGACCACTCTTTCCAGTCTGAGCTTGAAAGATGCCCTTTATTAAGGCAAAGTGGTTTTCGTGAGCTTTTCAAAGATGGGCCTAAATCTCCAAAGAGACTTTTCTCTGGTTTCTGGTGAGGATGGGCGACTTCAGCTGGCGACAGCTGTCCCAGCCACTGACAGCTCAGGGAGGAGACAGATTGGGAGATTGAATTAGGCCAAGGCTTAGAACACAATCTATCACGAAAACGGTGTGACAAACCCCAAACAGCCCATGGGTCTTCCCTGACTCCCAACTGGATTCCTGGAGTCCTGAGATCTGCACCAGCTCTGAGTCACTGAGCTGCCCCCCCGCTTCCAGTCCCCCAGCTCCCCACCCCCCAGCTCCCAGCCCCCCCAGCTCCCAGCTCCCCCAGCTTCCAGCCCCCCCCCACCTAGAACCTCGAGGCTGTGGCTGTCTTCAGCCTTGTTGGACAAGGCGGTTCCCACCTGTCTCAGTTCAGAGATAGTCATAGAAAAAGGTGCTCCCTCAGAGATTCAAGGTCACAGAGGGATTCAAGGTCAGAGAGAGAACTTAGGTCTACAGCTGCTTGGAAGGATATTTGCCAATTGGGCTAGTCTAGGGGATTAAAATTCTTTCTTCAGGGCAATAGCTCCACCCAGACCCCATGGGGGACTCCTCCTAGGATGCCCACCTCTGGGGAGGGTAAATCTGGGACTCCGCAGGAGAGAACAGCTACTAGCCCGAGTTGCCCTGCTATGTTAAGGGGCAGCCACTTCTGATTCTTGTTGACGTTTCTCAAGACTTTTGAATCCTGCTTCAGCTTCTCCTGCTACCCTAATTAAGGTTACTAGAAACCTCAGTTTCCACATATGTAAAATGGAATGGGGGGGTCCCTTTTTTTTTTGAGTCAGGGTTTCTCTGTGTAGAAGCTCTGGGTGTCCTCAAATTAGCTCTGTAGACCAGGCTGGCCTTCAAACTCACAGAGATCCACCTGTCTCTGCCTACTGAGTGCTGGGATGAAAAGTGTGCATCACCACCCAGCTACGTGTTCTTTTGAGACAGTCTTCCTATGTATCCCTAGCTGACCTGGAACCACTCCTGCTGCTGCCTTTGTGTGTGTGGTGGTGGAAGTGTTTTGGCTATGTGGCTCAGACTGACCTGGTACTCATAATACTCCTGCCTCAGCCACTCAAGTGTGGGGCTACTATCACATGCCACCATGCCCAGCTCCAGTCTTAATAGTAGTTTATTTAAATTAAAATTTGACTAAGTGTTTGAGAACCTGACCTTTGATCCAGATGGCTTTGGTTCTGGCTCTTCTCAGTTATTTTTTGGACATATCATTTCATCTCTATGTACCTGATGTCTTCATCTATAAAATGCTGACAGCAATAATATTGGGCTATTTTCATGAGGTTTGGTGAGGATTAGTAAGCTACTGAAAGAAACTGCTTAGGACAGTATCAAGAACATAGGTGAAATTTACATCACCCTTAATACAATGTTGCAGGTAAAATATGCAAAAGCGCCTGGTGCCAGGCTGCTGTTGAGCTGGTTATGGCCGTGTCTCCTCATCAGCTCCACACTCTAATGCTAACTCTCGGCTTCTCCAGGGACTCCCTGTTGCCAGCATTGAACTCCAGCTTCAGGAGTTGAAGAGAAGCAGAACTCGCCAGTTCTATGGTCTGATGGGGAAGCGGGTGGAAGGTGAGTGACAAAGGCAGAGGGCGTGGTTCTGAGTGCCATCTGCAACACCAGGTAGAGGATGCCATGGGATGGTGCGGTACACTGCCCCTACCAGTCATCATCCCAGCAGGATGCTTTGGGGAGTGCCAATGGCAACAGGTATATCGGAGTGGTCCAGCACATGAGCAGTGGGGCTGACGCTTTACACCCAGGTTCTATACCTGGGTGATGGGGAGTGCTGGGAAATGAACAGCAGCACTAGATGTGAGCAAGGCAGATTTTCCAGCGAGTTCTGTGCAGTTCAAGCACAGTTATTGTGTACCTGAGAGTACTGGGAACAAGGAAGCTGTCCTGGGAGACGAATAGAAGTCTTCCTGGGCAAAGCTCAGCTTCTCTTGGTTTGCGGTCTTCAACACTGTTGTCCTGAGTAGCCATGCTCTGTGTTGGCATTTTTGCTGTCCATTTAGAGACATCATCAAAGTAGGAAATGTGGGCACTTTTTTTCCTCAGACAGTTTTTCTGTGTAGCTTTGGCTGTCCTGAAACTTACTCAGGCTGGTCTCAAACTCATAGAGAACCATCTGCCTCTGCCTCCTGAGTGCTGGGATCAAAGGCGTGCACCACCAACATCTGGTGTACACTTTTGAGCAATATTTTCACTTCAGAAAATCTCAAGTTTGTATGGGAATGTCACAAGAGCCGAGATGTTCGCACTACAGGGTTCACTGCCAAGTTGTTCATAACAGCAAGGATTTGCAAAACTTAAGACCACCAGTGGGGAAAAGGTCAGAATATGGACCATAAATATGACCCAGTGGCATATGCCTGTAATCCCAGCATTCGGTGGGTGGACACAAGATGGTTCAAGGCCATTTTTGGCTACGTTGAGACCCTGTCTCAAAACAAACAAACAAACAAACAGGGTAGGGGGAGGATCAGAGAGATGGCTCAATTAGTAAAGTGCCTGCCACACAAGCATGAGAACCTGAATTTAGCACTCAACACCCACAGGGAATCTAGACAGCACACCTGTAACCCTAGCACTGGAGCGGTAAAGACAGGATGACATTTGGGACTTGCTGGCCAGCTAGTCAAACCAAATTGGTTCAGTGGGAGGCTGAGTCCGGAAGACAAAGACCTTTTTTTTTTTTTTTTGCCTTTGAGCACAGCGGAACCTCAACACGGCCAGGTCACCATGGCAACAGCACCCCCATATGTCTAGTAGGTGACTAAGGTTCTGATAGTACTTTTCCCAAGGATGCTTCCCAGCTGGTGTCAAATCCCAGTGATGCCGATGTATTCAGGCTCTGCTGCCTCCTGTGGGCACATTCCCACTATCACACAGGGACAATGGGAATGGCTAGAGTTCCCCTGAAGAACCCTTCACACCTCTCACCAAGCTGCCAGGGAAGCAGTTCAGTCTTCAGTCTCTTCCTCTTTCCAGGAATACGTCCGATCCAGCCAAGGGAAGGAATGGGTGAGTGCTGCCCTGGTCTACCCTCAGCATGCTCCCTGGGGTGGGGGCGTACACAGTGTTGATCATTAGGCACCCTGGAATAAGCAGTGAAGCTCTGGTTGGGGGCATGCCTGGCTGGCACTGCTGTCCCATTGTGGGGCTGCTGTAACTTGACCAGAAGATGGATTTTCTGGTTATTTTCCCGGAGTGTGGGATATGCATGCCTAGGGAGTGCCTGCAGGGGTAGGAGACAGGGCCAGAGCTGTTGAATGACCAGGGTTAAGAAAATGAATCAAGGGGCTGGAGAGATGGCTCAGTGGTTAAGAGCACTGGCTGCTCTTCCAGAGGTCCTGAGTTCAATTCCCAGCAACCACATGATGGCTCAGAACCATCTGTAATGAGATCTGACGCCCTCCTCTGGCGTGAGGGCATACACGGAGGCAGAATGTTGTATATTTATTTATTTATAATAAATAAATCTTAAAAAAAAAAAAGAAAATGAATCAACCAGGAAGAGCTCAGAGATTCAACCCCTTGCCCTTGAGAATGTTAGAACTACAAGTCCAGGTAGGTTTCATTCTGCTTAAGCCCTTTCACAGAAAGGGGATCACAAGAGGGGTCAGGTGTGGTGGTTCACACCTGTAATCCTAGCACTTGGGAGGCTGAGGCAGAGGGATGACAAGTATAGGCCAGCCCGGACTATAATGCAAGAACCCCTCTCAAATGAAACAAACAAAACAAAACAACACAGGTAACACCAACTTGTTCCCACAACTCCTGGATGCTACATGGATCAGGCACACCCCCTTCGCGCCCCTTGGGGTCGCTATTGGTTCCAAATGCCCCATCCTTAACAGCTAATGCGGACTGCCCCTCCTGAGCAGGGAGCTCATCTCCATGCCTGGAAATGATGGACTCTCAGTGGCACACTACCCTGTGCAGTTCTGGTGCGTCACATGGCTGTTATTTCCAGCCTGGAAACTCCCCACAGGAAGCCCCAGGGTTTCGGTCACTCCACAACCTTAATACTTAGCCTACTCTCTATTCATGGAAATATTGGTGAAAGGACAAGCAAGAGGAGGGATTCCATGAGTACAGCTGTGGACGGATGGAGGGATCCAGGGCTGCATTTGCAAAGCCCAGCTCCGCCCTGCCTGTCCGTACCCCATGCCCGAGGCATCCTTCCTTTACTGCTCCTCCTTTCTCTACCTCTCACCAGGTGATCAGCTGGGACGAATAGTGCAGGACCTCCTCGGCACAAGAGGCTTCTCCATAGAAGGTAAGAGAGCATCTAAAGGGTGACAAGGGCATCGTGGGAAAACAGCCAGGCGCTCTGCTGCCATCAGATAGGACAGGCTCCCATACCATTCTATCCAGCAGAAGGGTCCAGAGGAGGCAGGAGCTGAGGTGCAAGGGATGGGAAAGGCTCCTGCTGGTCTTCTGAGTATTCGTGTGTGCCATATCATGTGTGTGGAGGTCAGAGGTCAACCTGCAAAAGTTGGTTTTCTTCTTTCATCATGTACCAGAGATCCAACTCAGTGGTCAAACATGGTGACGGGTCCCTGTACAGGCTGAGCCATTTTGCCAGCCCTGATAATCTTGGAGTTGTCTTTCCCAGCCCATGTTCTCTAGGTTCCGTGGAGCCACGGAATACGATGTTCAGCAGACATCTCTTGCCTTTCTTGTCTGTAAAGTTCCAGTTGTTGATTCCTAGGTCAGGAATTTAGTCTTAAAGAGATTCTTAGTCAACAGCTGTTATTAAGTGAGCAGCCCTATGGGGGAGGGTGATACCCTAAGCAGCTAACACTTGCCCCCTCCCCAAGCAAGAGCTGTACCCTCCAATGGTCCCTGAAGCCAGGCATGAAGATAAACAATTCAGGCTGCGGAGGAGCAGAGCCAGTGAGCCATGGCAAAGCAGTGGATCCACAGTGATCAGATGCAGGTCACATGATAAACTCCATGATGTTTCAGTGTTGTACCTGACTTCTGGCTCCTCCCTATCTTTCCTGATAGAACACTGGCTATTGGGAAGGCGGGAATGAACTCTTTCCCCCTGAGATTTTTCTCAGGGGATGAGTCTTTCAGAGGGTCTCTGGAATTCACCCCAGTATCAAGTTGAAATGAATGTTCTGTCATGGGGAGAGCTGGTTGCTTAGAGGCATCATTTTCCAGGGACAGAAAGTAATTTGCCCTCAGTCACAGTGAACTAGTAACAAAACCAGTTTTCCGTGTCCCCAGGAAAATCTTTTGGGCTGTAGTATACCATTTCCCTTTCTGTGGAGGATGACCAAGGGCTGGCTGGAGATGTGGCAGATGAACCTGTAATTTCACTGCTCTAGGGACCTGCAGACAGGAGACACACGAGAGTGCAGAGCCCGGAGCAGTGGCCAGAGAAGGCCTCCAGCGTCAAACAGGAAGACCAGACTCCCTCAATCACCAGCAACGTGTAGCACTCTTCCTGGACACTGAAGAGGATGACCAGGGTTTAGAGTGAGCCCCAAAGGACGCTTCCCAAATGATGCCACGCCCACCCCTCCCTGAACATCAGAGCTGAAGCGCCTCAGGCCATCAGTCCAGTGTCTTCTGTCCTTAACTTGGGCATTCATGCCAGGCCCGCACTGAGCCCTGCATTTCTTCCAGGCCTCTTGGCACCAGGTAGCAATGGCACACAAAGCAGTGCTGCCTCACAGGCTGGAGTGGCCCAGCTCGCCCTTGCACCCAGGCTCTCGTGTCCATGTGTTACAGGGTAAGATTTACACCTGTAACCCATGCCCAACAGTGGGGCTCAGTAAACAAGTGAGCAGTGTAGAAGAACGCAAATAAATTAATCCCACACTAACTCAGAATGAAGTATAATAAGGGGTTCTTTATTTAAGGGGGACTCACAGATCACAGTCCTCTGCACAAACGGGGATCAGGAACTGAATCCAGCATCCAGGCGAGAGGAGAGAGCTCAGGCGCACCTTTTGGTACCCAAGGCCACGCCCAACCTGCCACGGCCTTTGAAAGGCCACGGCTGAAAGAGGTTCCTCAGCACCACCCCTTTTTGTCTAAATAAGAGTTCCAAATCCAATACAAAACTATACATAAAAGGTATCAAGTATAAAAATTAGAATTACAACCAAAATAAACAATATTAAGAAACATATGTTTTAATAATTATTTTATCCTAGGGAGTCTAAATCTTGTATTAGGAATGGCTTGGCTAAGTCATTAGAGGAAAATAACTATAACTATCTAGTCTTCAACCTCATAGAAAACCTGAGAAGGGAAATAATATTACTTGAGTAGGCAGGAAGTGAAATCAAGCACCTTCCAAAATGTGCAGTAACTGACAGAGATAACTGGCTACCTAGGCAATCACCCAAAATCTCATTTGCAACGTTGGAGCAACCAACTTTGGCTAAGGCCTAGAGTAACTGACAGAAAATTTTCAGAGGCAGGAAAATTTCCAAAACTATCTTACCCTGTCTTGGCAAGGTTTGGCTGTCTTTTTTCTTGTATTTTGCTTGTCCGGTCCGGACACCATGCATTTTGTCAGTGGTCGAGGCATGGGCAGTTCCTTGCCCAAAGACCAGTTTTGCCAAGAAAACAAGCTCCAAGTGGAGCGTGTTCAGTGTTCAATGTTCTCTCGGGAATAGATCGGTGCTGCCAGGAGCAATCATGTCTTATGCCAACAGAACCCTAAGTTATTTAAGTGCCATATTCTATAGTTCTGGGATAATAGGTAGACTAGTGTGAGCTTACTCACAGAGCAGTAACAAGTAGCTTCCTTGGCCATGGAGGGCAGAGGGCAGGATGTCAGAAGAGCAGAGCAAAATTACACAGCCCAGGTCCACCCTCAGGTGGGAAAAGAACTTGGGGCCAAGCTAAGAATTGCAACAGAACCAAGAGAATTCCTGATGGGGTGGGCACTGCATGCATTTGGGTGTAAGAGGGAGTAGGGTCAGAGGCCTTCTTCTCCTTGGATTCCTGATATTCCTAGCTTGATGATATGGCTGAGTGGGTTTAAGGCACTTGTTGCCAAGACCAACAACTTGAGTTCAATCCCCAGGACCCACAAGGTGGAAGAAAAGAGTAAACGCTTCCAAGTTGTCCTTTGACTTCTACATGTGTGAGAAAGCATATATGTACCAACACACAGACACAAAATAAAGCTAAAGCTAAAAAAGATTTTAAAAAAATGAAGCCACTCTCTCGAATTTAGTCCTCCTGATTGCAGTTTGGTCCCAGGTCACTCATCAATCTTTCTGTATGAGGTGGCCCTTCAACTGCTTGGCTTTTACAACAATTAGCTGTCCCCCATTCGTATGCCAGGGAGAGCTCAAGAAAAACAGAACAGCACCAACCTCAGAGAGCCCCAATCTAGTGGGGGAAACGTTTTGCCTATGACAGAGGACCCTGAGATGTTTAATGATGTCAGAAGCTAGGTATGGTGGTATTTATCTGCAGTCTCAGTCCGCAGGAGGCTGAGGCTTGAGCTCAGGAATTCAGCCTGACAATATGCTGAGACTATCTGGGGAAAGAAAATGTTCCAGTGAGAGGACTCACTTATCTCAGTGAGAAGATTGCTTACTACCAAATCTGATGCAATCCCCAAGACCCACGTGATGTAGTAGTGACACGTGTGTACACACAAAATAGTTAATTTTTCTTTTCTTTTGGCTCTTTGAGACAGGGTTTCTCAGTGTACAGCCTTGGCTGTCCAGGAACTCATTGTGTAGACCAGGCTGACCTTAAACTAAGAGATCCACCTGCTTCTGCCTCCCAAATGCTGGGATTAAAGGCTTGCGCCACACCCAGTTAGTAAATGTAATTTTAAAAAAGTCCCTAGAACGAAAATCCAAGGGCAAACACTGGAAATAAGATTGGTAGGGGATTGGAGCCAGCTCAGCCAGCAAAGTACTTTCCATGTAAGCATTAAGACCTCAGTTTGATCCCAATAATAATAATAGCCAGATGGTGGTGATGCATACCTTTAATCCCAGTACTCAAGAGGCAGGTGGATCTTCTGTGAGCTCAAGGCCAGTATGATCTACAGAGTGAGTTTCAGGACAACCAGAACTGTATAGTGAAACCCTGTCTCGAAAAACCAACAAACCAAATAAACAAACAGGAAAAAGAAACAGCATGGTAGGGTGTATGTTTTTTACTTTTTGCTTTCGGGACAGGATTTCTTTTTTTTTTAAATATTTATTTATTTATTTATTTGTTTATTATGTATACAATATTTTGTCTGTGTGTCTGTCTGCAGGCCAGAAGAGAAGAGGGCATCAGATATCAGTTCAGATGGTTGTGAGCCACCATGTGGTTGCTGGGAATTGAACTCAGGACCTTTGGAAGAGCAGGCAATGCTCTTAACCACTGAGCCATCTCTCCAGCCCCCTTCTTTTTTTAATATTATCATGATTTATTTAATTTTATGTGTATTGGTGTGAAGTTGTCAGATCCCCTGGAACAGGAGTTACAGACAGTTGTGAGCTGCCATGTGCTCTTAACTGCTGAGCCATCTCTCCAGCCCCGGGGCCGGATTTCTTTGCGTAGCTTTGGAGCCTGTTATGGCACTCACTCTGTAAACCAAGCTGGTCTCGAACTCAGAGATCACCTGCCTCTGCCTCCCAAGTGCTGGAATTAAAGGCATGCACCACTGCTCAGCAGTAGTGTGTTTATAATCATAGTGCTGCGGACAGAGGACAGAGACAGGTGAGCTCTATGCAAATGAGAGATCTGGTCTCAAAAACACCAGTGTTTAGCACCTGAGAAACAATACCCAAGATTGCCCTCTGACCCTCTCATGCTGTATATACACATGCAAGTATGTAAGTACACACAGGAACACATGTGATAGGGCTGAACTAGAAATATATTGGAATTACATGGGCAGGGTAATAGCAAAGGAAGCTCATTCACTTACTCACTGAACCACAAAAATATGTTCATCTTGTGTCCCTCATTCCAAAGAGGAAATGGTTATCTTTCTGGGGGCACTTGTTCCCCTCCATGTGTGACGTCGGGTGGTGGCAAGGTACACTGAACAGGAAGGGAAGTTAAGCATTTGAATGCCTGGGCAGTGACAGCAGATACTGGAGAGGTGATCAAACAAATTAATACTACCACTAAGGAAGTCTTCACTTTTTTTCCCCTCAATTTCTTTTTTCCTAAGACAGGGCAGCCTAGGATGGCCTTGAATCTGCAATCCTCCTCCAAGTTCAGCCACCCGAGGCTAGGATTACAGCTCTGTACACCGAGTCCAGCCAGCCTGCTTTCACTAGACCTAAAGTAAATCTGTTCTAAAACTTCCTGTTTACTGTTAAGACTCAAGCCAACTTCAAGCCTTTCTTCCTTCTCACACATGGAGATGAATATTGAGTGGGGGACAGTATGGACTTCTTTCCTGGAGTCTGTCCTTACAGCAGAATTTCCCAGTAATACACGTCATCTGCTCACCTCCCAATCCAGGCATCCCAGGTGCCTTGGAAGACTTGATGGCTTTTGGGAGAGAGCTGAGATGTCCCCACTCTGAAAGCCCACTTCTGTGCACATTACCCCAAGCTCCTGATCTCTGTATACAATACTGTTTCCATTCAAGTAATTTCTAGTGAGTAGCCAAGCCAGTTGCTTTGTAAAGGCTTCTAATTGGGAACCATCGTTCGGCTGCCTCAGTGTTCTCTTCTTCCCATTCCCACTCTGTTAAGTGGTAAGATAATGTTGGTGCTCTAAGTACTGAGCTTGTCTCTCAGTACAATGAGATTTCTCAAAATACAGAATCTAACGCCAGCTCAACAGCAGTACTGGCAAGTGCTTGGAGAGTATCTGAAAGGATTCACACATCCTGCTTTCAACAGGCCTGCCTCCAGGGAGCTATACAGTACAGATAACAGAAAGAGTGGTCATCCCGAGTAGAAAGTTAAAGTTCTGAAAGTCATGTCTCAAGTGAATGTGGTGCCACACACCTGAAATCCCAGCATTCCAAGGTGGAGGCAGGAGGATCAGGACTATTCAAAGCCAGACTCTGAATTCCTGAGCTCGGTTGGGAGTGACATCTTCAATCCCACATTTGAATTTTTGGTGCTGGCAGCAGGAGCACCCCAGTTCTGTCTAGTCTCTCCATATGCTGCAGATCAACTTCTGCTTCTGGTCTATAAGCACCAAACCATAATCCCAAAATCCCAAATCTGACACACACTCAAGGGAGGTGTATCACTCACAAGGCCCCCATGCACAAAGGGATGAAGCAGTATCTAGCACACTCTAGACTGAGATAAGAGAACATCTCCAACAACTTGTGGCAGAGTTAAGTCCAAGGTAAGCTGTTTCCAGAAACAACCCCTACTGGAACGTGACTTGTAGAGAACAGAGATGCTTATCACTCACAAGGAACACTTGGGAGGCGACACCATGGAGCCAAAGTGGTCAACAGTCCAGGTTATTCTCTATTCTGAGGCTCGAGTAAACAAAGCTAGGTGTCCAAACATGTACCTGAAGGCACACACTGAACAGGAGGGGAGGGGCAAACTGATGCTTCACCCAGGGGGGCATTTTCCTCACTGCTGAACCTTGTTTCTGGTTTAGTGACATTCATTGGCATTGCTTAAGATACCACAAAGGAAGTGAGCAATTTACACTGCCCCCCGCAGTCTGTGAGAGGCAGTCATTTGCAAGCTTGTGGCCAAAAGTCCTGAGTAAAACCAGCTGAGATCCCATTCCTAGCACATCACATCCTATTATTTAGCAAAGGTGTTCTCATCTTCTATTCTCAAGACACACACCCTGTGAGTCCAGCAGTCAGTGAACCAGTCCTTCCTCTATACTTCACCACTCACCAGAATCGGTTCTTTGCATTCAA